TGTCGGTCGGAGCGGCATTGCTAGCGGTGCGTCTGCATCTGGCGCTGTGTCGGTCGTGTCTGGTTCTGCGGTGGACGGCGCATCCGGTGCTGTGCGTGTGGCCAGCGGATCTAGTACAACGGGGTCCGGTGGTTTGCTGAGCGTGGCGGGCGGTTCCAGCGGCGCGGCGGGGTCGGGAGGAAGTGTTCTCGTGAACGGCGGCAGTTCGCTGACAGGTTTGTCCGGTTCCGTGGACGTGAGCGGCGGAACTTCCTCATCCAGTGGATCTGGCGGCGCGGTTAGCGTTTCCGGCGGGTCGTCTTCTAGCGGCATCGGTGGGGACGTGACTGTGTCGAGTGGCGCCTCTGGCAGCTCCGCTGGTGGCAGCGGTGTGTTCGTCCGTAGCGGTTCTGGCGGCAGCCTGAGCCTCGTTCAGGGCGACAGTGGTGCTGTCGGCGGCGATGTGGAGTTGCGTGGCGGCAGCGTGGACAGCGCGACCGCGGCGCAGACGGTGAGGATTGTCGGATCAGCGAACGCTCAAGGCGCGGGTGGCGACGTGTCGATCGACGGCGGGTCGTCCGCGGCGACAGTGGGCGGCTCGGTGTTGCTGACGAGCGGCGGCGGCGCCGTGAGTAGTGGCGGCGTGATTGTTTCTACGAGCGTCGTGTCCGGTGGCTCGAGTGGCGCCGTCGACGTGCGCAGCAGCGCTAGCAGCGTGTCTAGCGGGTCTGTCCGCATTGGAAGCGGGTCTGGAGATGCTAGTGCAGGGTCCGTCGAGGTGGCTGGTGGCTCGTCCGCTACGGGTGAGGGCTCCAGCGTATCTGTGTTGGGCGGCGCGTCGGATTCGTCGGCGGGCGGCAGCGTGACGATCCTGAGCGGTGAAAGTGCTTCGACGGTGAGCGGCGCAGTGACGCTCGGGTCGGGCAGCGGTGCGGCTTCCGTGAGCAGTGGCGCGGTGTCGTTGACGAGTGGGTCGGTCGAGGCCGGTTCGTCAGGCGCTGTGTCGATCGGATCTGGTGCGTCGTCGACGCAGTCGAGCGGGTCAGTGAGCGTGTCTGGCGGCGAGGCTGCAGGTGCTGGCGGGTCGGTTAGCGTGTCCGGCGGTATCAGTTCGGGCGACTTGGGCGGCTCGTTGGGTTTGGCCGGTGGTGCTGGCGCGACGGGCGGTGACGTGACGGTGTCTGGCGGCGCAAGCGCGTCGGGCAACGGCGCGTCGCTGGCGTTGCTCAGCGGAGAAGGTCCAAGCAGCAGCGGCGAGGCGCGACTGGCTAGCGCATCCGGCGCAGCGTCGGGCGGTGTACGGATTTCGTCCGGCTCGGCATCTGGGTCCGGCAGTACGGACTCTGCTGGCAGCATTAGCGTGTCGGTGGGGTCGTCTGTCGTTGACGGCGGCGCCGTGGACGTGCGCGGCGGTTCGAGCGATCAAGCTGCGGCAGGCGATGTTGTGTTGGTGGGCGGCTCGTCACTGTCGACAGCGTCTTCGACTGGAGTCGTGGCTGGCGCCGTTCGGCTGGAGGGCGGCAGCTCTGCCGGAGACAGTGCCGGCGGCCATGCATTCGTGTCGGGCGGTACCGGTGTCGTGGAGGGCGGCTCGGTGTCCGTGCTGAGCGGTAGTGGCAGTGACGCAGCTGCCATCAGCGGTGACGCGATCCTGGGGTCATCCGCTCCTGGTGCGAGCGGAGCCAGTGGGTCCGTCGAGGTGAGTAGTGGCGCTACCACGGGAGGCTTGTCCGGCGATGTGACGCTGGGCAGCGGAGCTTCGACCGGGAGCGACTCGGGCTCCGTGACGGTGGCTGGCGGCTCGAGCGACGCGGCGAGCGGCGGCTCTGTGTCGGTGCTCGGCGGAAGCAGCAGCGGTTCGTCAGCTGGTGGCGCGGTATCGCTGTTGAGCGGCGCGGCCAGTGCGAGCAGCGGCGTCGTTACGGTGTCGAGCGCGGCTGCCACAGGCTCGAGCGTGAGCGGTGACGTGGGCGTCAGCACTGGCGATGCCGACTCCGGCGCGTCGGGATTGTTGTCAGTTGCGTCTGGCGGCAGCGCGAGCGGGTCGAGCGGGTCTGTGGTCGTGTCGAGCGGTGTTTCAGACTCGTCGGACGCAGGCAGCGTGCAGATTCGCGGCGGGCCGACTGGAAGCACGAGCGCGCGCGGGGGCTCTGTGTTCGTGTCGTCCGGCGAGGACGGCGCGGTGAGCTTGTCGAGCGGTGTTCGTCGCAGTGCTGCCGGCGGCACGGTCGAAGTTGTTGCCGGCGATAGTACGGATAGCACTACGGGTGGCGGCTCGGTGAGTGTGCGCGGCGGATCTCTGACGGCGTCATCTGGTGTTGCTGGAGGCGTCGCCTTAACTGGCGGTGTCGGTTCGTCTAGCGCTGCGACCGGAGGCGGCATCGTTCTGGCCGGCGGTGCGAGCGAGGCTGGCGCTGGCGGTGTCGTGGACGTTGCTTCGGGTGCGGGTTTGCTGGGCAGCGGCGACGTGAGCGTGACGAGCGGTGCTTCTGCGAGCGGAGACGCATTGAGCGGTTCTGCGACGATCGGGAGCGGCGCGTCGGTGGATGCAGCGTCGGGCGTGGTGACGCTGTCTTCCGGTTCTTCGGGGTCGGGTAGCAGCGGCGACGTGTCCGTGCAGTCTGGCGAGGCGTCTACCACAGCAGGCAGTGTGTTTGTGTCGGGCGGTTCTAGCAGCTCGTCGACGGGCGGCGCGGTGTCGGTGTCTAGCGGCACTGGCAGTGTCTCGAGCGGCGTTGTGTCGGTCGGAAGCGGCATTGCTAGCGGTACGTCTGCGTCTGGTGGTGTGTCGGTCGTGTCTGGCTCTGCGGTGGACGGCGCATCTGGTGCTGTTAATGTGGCCAGCGGATCTAGTACAACGGGGTCCGGTGGTTTGCTGAGCGTGGCGGGCGGTTCCAGCGGCGCGGCAGGGTCGGGAGGAAGTGTTCTCGTGACTGGCGGCGATTCGGAGACGGGTTCGTCCGGTTCCGTGGACGTGAGCGGCGGAACTTCCTCATCCAGTGGATCTGGCGGCGCGGTTAGCGTTTCCGGCGGGTCGTCTTCTAGCGGCATCGGTGGGGACGTGACTGTGTCGAGTGGCGCCTCTGGCAGCTCCGCTGGTGGCAGCGGTGTGTTCGTCCGTAGCGGTTCTGGCGGCAGCCTGAGCCTCGTCCAGGGCGACAGTGGTGCTGTCGGCGGCGATGTGGAGTTGCGTGGCGGCAGCGTGGACAGCGCGACCGCGGCGCAGACGGTGAGGATTGTCGGATCAGCGAACGCTCAAGGCGCGGGTGGCGACGTGTCGATCGACGGCGGGTCGTCCGCGGCGACAGTGGGCGGCTCGGTGTTGCTGACGAGCGGCGGCGGTGCCGAGAGCAGTGGCGGCGTGATTGTTTCAACGAGCGTCGTGTCCGGTGGCTCGAGTGGCGCCGTCGACGTGCGCAGCAGCGCTAGCAGCGTGTCTAGCGGGTCTGTCCGCATTGGAAGCGGGTCTGGAGACGCAAGTGCAGGGTCCGTCGAGGTGGCTGGTGGCTCGTCCGCTACGGGTGAGGGCTCCAGCGTATCTGTGTTGGGCGGCGCGTCGGATTCGTCGGCGGGCGGCAGCGTGACGATCCTGAGCGGTGAAAGTGCTTCGACGGTGAGCGGCGCAGTGACGCTCGGGTCGGGCAGCGGTGCGGCTTCCGTGAGCAGTGGCGCGGTGTCGTTGACGAGTGGGTCGGTCGAGGCCGGTTCGTCAGGCGCTGTGTCGATCGGATCTGGTGCGTCGTCGACGCAGTCGAGCGGGTCAGTGAGCGTGTCTGGCGGCGAGGCTGCAGGTGCTGGCGGGTCGGTTAGCGTGTCCGGCGGTATCAGTTCGGGCGACTTGGGCGGCTCGTTGGGTTTGGCCGGTGGTGCTGGCGCGACGGGCGGTGACGTGACGGTGTCTGGCGGCGCAAGCGCGTCGGGCAACGGCGCGTCGCTGGCGTTGCTCANCGGAGAAGGTCCAAGCAGCAGCGGCGAGGCGCGACTGGCTAGCGCATCCGGCGCAGCGTCGGGCGGTGTACGGATTTCGTCCGGCTCGGCATCTGGGTCCGGCAGTACGGACTCTGCTGGCAGCATTAGCGTGTCGGTGGGGTCGTCTGTCGTTGACGGCGGCGCCGTGGACGTGCGCGGCGGTTCGAGCGATCAAGCTGCGGCAGGCGATGTTGTGTTGGTGGGCGGCTCGTCACTGTCGACAGCGTCTTCGACTGGAGTCGTGGCTGGCGCCGTTCGGCTGGAGGGCGGCAGCTCTGCCGGAGACAGTGCCGGCGGCCATGCATTCGTGTCGGGCGGTACCGGCGTCGTGGAGGGCGGCTCGGTGTCCGTGCTGAGCGGTAGCGGCAGTGACGCAGCTGCCATCAGCGGTGACGCGATCCTGGGGTCATCCGCTCCTGGTGCGAGCGGAGCCAGTGGGTCCGTCGAGGTGAGTAGTGGCGCTACCACGGGAGGCGTGTCCGGCGATGTGACGCTGGGCAGCGGAGCTTCGACCGGGAGCGACTCGGGCTCCGTGACGGTGGCTGGCGGCTCGAGCGACGCGGTGAGCGGCGGCTCTGTGTCGGTGCTCGGCGGAAGCAGCAGCGGCTCGTCAGCTGGTGGCGCGGTATCGCTGTTGAGCGGCGCGGCCAGTGCGAGCAGCGGCGTCGTTACGGTGTCGAGCGCGGCTGCCACAGGCTCGAGCGTGAGCGGTGACGTGGGCGTCAGCACTGGCGATGCCGACTCCGGCGCGTCGGGATTGTTGTCAGTTGCGTCTGGCGGCAGCGCGAGCGGGTCGAGCGGGTCTGTGGTCGTGTCGAGCGGTGTTTCAGACTCGTCGGACGCAGGCAGCGTGCAGATTCGCGGCGGGGCGACTGGAAGCACGAGCGCGCGCGGGGGCTCTGTGTTCGTGTCGTCCGGCGAGGACGGCGCGGTGAGCTTGTCGAGCGGTGTTCGTCGCAGTGCTGCCGGCGGCACGGTCGAAGTTGTTGCCGGCGATAGTACGGATAGCACTACGGGTGGCGGCTCGGTGAGTGTGCGCGGCGGATCTCTGACGGCGTCATCTGGTGTTGCTGGAGGCGTCGCCTTAACTGGCGGTGTCGGTTCGTCTAGCGCTGCGACCGGAGGCGGCATCGTTCTGGCCGGCGGCGCAAGCGATGCTGGCGCAGGGGGTGTCGTGGACATTGCTTCGGGTGCGGGTTTGCTGGGCAGCGGCGACGTGAGCGTGACGAGCGGTGCTTCTGCGAGCGGAGACGCATTGAGCGGTTCTGCGACGATCGGGAGCGGCGCGTCGGTGGATGCAGCGTCGGGCGTGGTGACGCTGTCTTCCGGTTCTTCGGGGTCGGGTAGCAGCGGCGACGTGTCCGTGCAGTCTGGCGAGGCGTCTACCACAGCAGGCAGTGTGTTTGTGTCGGGCGGTTCTAGCAGTTCGTCGACGGGCGGCGCGGTGTCGGTGTCTAGCGGCACTGGCAGTGTCTCGAGCGGCGTTGTGTCGGTCGGAAGCGGCATTGCTAGCGGTACGTCTGCGTCTGGTGGTGTGTCGGTCGTGTCTGGCTCTGCGGTGGACGGCGCATCTGGTGCTGTTAATGTGGCCAGCGGATCTAGTACAACGGGGTCCGGTGGTTTGCTGAGCGTGGCGGGCGGTTCCAGCGGCGCGGCAGGGTCGGGAGGAAGTGTTCTCGTGACTGGCGGCGATTCGGAGACGGGTTCGTCCGGTTCCGTGGACGTGAGCGGCGGAACTTCCTCATCCAGTGGATCTGGCGGCGCGGTTAGCGTTTCCGGCGGGTCGTCTTCTAGCGGCATCGGTGGGGACGTGACTGTGTCGAGTGGCGCCTCTGGCAGCTCCGCTGGTGGCAGCGGTGTGTTCGTCCGTAGCGGTTCTGGCGGCAGCCTGAGCCTCGTCCAGGGCGACAGTGGTGCTGTCGGCGGCGATGTGGAGTTGCGTGGCGGCAGCGTGGACAGCGCGACCGCGGCGCAGACGGTGAGGATTGTCGGATCAGCGAACGCTCAAGGCGCGGGTGGCGACGTGTCGATCGACGGCGGGTCGTCCGCGGCGAGTGTGGGCGGCTCGGTGTTGCTGACGAGCGGCGGCGGTGCCGAGAGCAGTGGCGGCGTGATTGTTTCAACGAGCGTCGTGTCCGGTGGCTCGAGTGGCGCCGTCGACGTGCGCAGCAGCGCTAGCAGCGTGTCTAGCGGGTCTGTCCGCATTGGAAGCGGGTCTGGAGATGCTAGTGCAGGGTCCGTCGAGGTGGATGGTGGCTCGTCCGCTACGGGTGAGGGCTCCAGCGTATCTGTGTTGGGCGGCGCGTCGGATTCGTCGGCGGGCGGCAGCGTGACGATCCTGAGCGGTGAAAGTGCTTCGAGGTTGAGCGGCGCAGTGACGCTCGGGTCGGGCAGCGGTGCGGCTTCCGTGAGCAGTGGCGCGGTGTCGTTGACGAGTGGGTCGGTCGAGACCAGTTCGTCAGGCGCAGTGTCGATCGGATCTGGTGCGTCGTCGACGCAGTCGAGCGGGTCGGTGAGCGTGTCTGGCGGCGAGGCTGCAGGTGCTGGCGGGTCGGTTAGCGTGTCCGGCGGTATCAGTTCGGGCGACTTGGGCGGCTCGTTGGGTTTGGCCGGTGGTGCTGGCGCGACGGGCGGTGACGTGACGGTGTCTGGCGGCGCAAGCGCGTCGGGCAACGGCGCGTCGCTGGCGTTGCTCAGCGGAGAAGGTCCAAGCAGCAGCGGCGAGGCGCGACTGGCTAGCGCATCCGGCGCAGCGTCGGGCGGTGTACGGATTTCGTCCGGCTCGGCATCTGGGTCCGGCAGTACGGACTCTGCTGGCAGCATTAGCGTGTCGGTGGGGTCGTCTGTCGTTGACGGCGGCGCCGTGGACGTGCGCGGCGGTTCGAGCGATCAAGCTGCGGCAGGCGATGTTGTGTTGGTGGGCGGCTCGTCACTGTCGACAGCGTCTTCGACTGGAGTCGTGGCTGGCGCCGTTCGGCTGGAGGGCGGCAGCTCTGCCGGAGACAGTGCCGGCGGCCATGCATTCGTGTCGGGCGGTACCGGTGTCGTGGAGGGCGGCTCGGTGTCCGTGCTGAGCGGTAGTGGCAGTGACGCAGCTGCCATCAGCGGTGACGCGATCCTGGGGTCATCCGCTCCTGGTGCGAGCGGAGCCAGTGGGTCCGTCGAGGTGAGTAGTGGCGCTACCACGGGAGGCTTGTCCGGCGATGTGACGCTGGGCAGCGGAGCTTCGACCGGGAGCGACTCGGGCTCCGTGACGGTGGCTGGCGGCTCGAGCGACGCGGCGAGCGGCGGCTCTGTGTCGGTGCTCGGCGGAAGCAGCAGCGGTTCGTCAGCTGGTGGCGCGGTATCGCTGTTGAGCGGCGCGGCCAGTGCGAGCAGCGGCGTCGTTACGGTGTCGAGCGCGGCTGCCACAGGCTCGAGCGTGAGCGGTGACGTGGGCGTCAGCACTGGCGATGCCGACTCCGGCGCGTCGGGATTGTTGTCAGTTGCGTCTGGCGGCAGCGCGAGCGGGTCGAGCGGGTCTGTGGTCGTGTCGAGCGGTGTTTCAGACTCGTCGGACGCAGGCAGCGTGCAGATTCGCGGCGGGCCGACTGGAAGCACGAGCGCGCGCGGGGGCTCTGTGTTCGTGTCGTCCGGCGAGGACGGCGCGGTGAGCTTGTCGAGCGGTGTTCGTCGCAGTGCTGCCGGCGGCACGGTCGAAGTTGTTGCCGGCGATAGTACGGATAGCACTACGGGTGGCGGCTCGGTGAGTGTGCGCGGCGGATCTCTGACGGCGTCATCTGGTGTTGCTGGAGGCGTCGCCTTAACTGGCGGTGTCGGTTCGTCTAGCGCTGCGACCGGAGGCGGCATCGTTCTGGCCGGCGGCGCAAGCGATGCTGGCGCAGGGGGTGTCGTGGACATTGCTTCGGGTGCGGGTTTGCTGGGCAGCGGCGACGTGAGCGTGACGAGCGGTGCTTCTGCGAGCGGAGACGCATTGAGCGGTTCTGCGACGATCGGGAGCGGCGCGTCGGTGGATGCAGCGTCGGGCGTGGTGACGCTGTCTTCCGGTTCTTCGGGGTCGGGTAGCAGCGGCGACGTGTCCGTGCAGTCTGGCGAGGCGTCTACCACAGCAGGCAGTGTGTTTGTGTCGGGCGGTTCTAGCAGCTCGTCGACGGGCGGCGCGGTGTCGGTGTCTAGCGGCACTGGCAGTGTCTCGAGCGGCGTTGTGTCGGTCGGAAGCGGCATTGCTAGCGGTACGTCTGCGTCTGGTGGTGTGTCGGTCGTGTCTGGCTCTGCGGTGGACGGCGCATCTGGTGCTGTTAATGTGGCCAGCGGATCTAGTAGTACGGGGTCCGGTGGTTTGCTG